GAAAAGTAGTTGTTTAGTTATAGGGAAAGAAAGCAGCAAGCTAAAAGGTGAAAGCAAAGCATAAGAGAGAACTACTAGGGATAGGAGATAGCCTGGAGGAAAAATATCATCTCTTTTCTACATTCTCAAATAAACATATTGCATCAAGTTCCAATAGCAGTTTGAAAATATTTTTATTTATTTTAAATACAGCAAAAATAACTAGAGGAAGGAGGTGCTGGAAAAACTTTCTCTTCTAAAAAATAGAATTTTAAAATACTTTGTGTCAACTGATGGTCCTTAGTACCATCAACAGGAATCCCCAGTTTGGGTGCAGTGAAGAAGGAAACTTTATCCAGTGTAAGCAGTTTGTGATACACCAGTGATGACAGAGAATCTTTGACCGGCTGTCTACTGCACCCCCCACACTGGGGTCCAAGCCTGCAACCCAGGCATGTGCCCTGACTGTGAATTGAAACATGACCTCTTTCATAGGTCAATGCTCAACCAGTGAGCCACGCTGGCCGGGCTTATGTTGTATTCTTAAGTTGCTTATTTGCAACCAACTTGGGTCCACTCCAGGAAAATATGCTGATAGAATATTAAATCTCACATGGTGAGAACTAAGAGATAGCAATGGACATCCCTATAGGATATTTTCCTCTCAGCAGTTTTGTGTCTATGTATTTAATAACTGCATTTATCAGAGTTAAGTTTATTTCTTGGTAGGTGCCATTATATCCTACATATCGGTATTTGGTGTTTTTCTCCTAGATTATATACAGTTTGGGGCACTGATTTGTTTTGGAGGCTGTTTTGAATAACTTAACTCCAGGAATATTTGGGGCATTTTCTTTCAGTATTTTTTTTTTGAACTTTTTGTTTGATTTTTGAATTCTTGTTTTCTCTCTATGCAAACTCTTAACATATTCTGATCAATTGGCCACTTAACATGTGTTTTTTTTTCCCTTTCTTATTTAATTTAGGAAGAAGACTCACTAGGCAAACAGACTTTGATTTAAGAATGAGTGAGGTAAGTTAAATATATACTAGCTGCCTATAAGTCAGAATGAAAAACCAAGACTAGGTTAGAAATGTACTTTATATGAATACCTTAGGTCTTTGCCCTTCAGCTATTTACTCATACTACATTCTTTCTATTTTTTCCTCTAACCTGGTCATTTTTTTATTAAGTAAAGCAAATACCATGTTTCATGCAGATTTATTATTGGGTCTTTCTAGATGTTGTAAGGGAGCAAATACAAGCTTGGATTTGTTTTCAGGATCCTTATGAAATAAACTCAGAATGCTAAGACTTGATATGCTATATAATAGTACTTGGCTTAACACTTTGATAGAGTATAATGCAGTTATAATATGTGACAGCTTTTTGTGTTACAATTATTAGTATGTGAATAGTGCTTATTGATGACTATGCCAAGGTTCCAGTAATTCAACCTGAGTTAAGTAAACATATTAAATAAAATAATAAATAATAAAATTAAATGCTACTTGTAAAAATACAGGATTTTCTCAACCAAAAGCCTTATTTTATTTATATAAACTGATAATTAGGATTTCTCGTATACAGAATATAAGATACTAACAATTAGGATTTCTCGTATACAGAATGTAAGCATTCTGAAGGTACTTCAGACAAAGTAATCTTTCTGGTACGTGTCCTTGAATTGGGTTAAGGGTGACCAACAAGATAACAAAAAAAAAATATTTCTTTAAAAATAGCTATTTAGGAATGACTGAAATTCCCACCCTGGGAAAGAAAGTCTATCAGAGTAGGTTGGCTGTGTGCTAGTTATTAGCAGGATAAACTGGTTGACTAAAGATTCCCAGAAGTTCTGCAATTCCTTTAAAAGTTCAGTGACCAAAATGCTGACAGAAACAGAATATGAAAACTGAAGAGACTATGGAAATCATATAGTCCAGTAATTTTTACAGTATAATTTGTAGACCACCTGAATAAGAATTATATGAAAAACTCCCTCAAAATGAAAACATTTAGGCCCAACCTCAGATTACTAATCAGGACTCTTCAGGGTAAGGTTAAGAAGTCATGATTTTTAAAAAGCACCCAAGTGATTCTTATTGCCATTAAAGTTTGAAAACCACTATCATAAAATAGTCTCCACAACTAAAGGGATATAATGTGACACTGAGAACATACTTATTAAGTGAATCAAAACAAGTATCTAGAAAATAAAGAACATGAAAAAAATCAAGTCTCCATTTCTTTAGAGCATTCTGAGGAAAGATTTATTTTATAAGATTGAACCAGTTTATGTGATAACAAATATATTATCATTTTGTTCATATTGGCATAATAATATACTCACAGATTTTTATGTATTTCTCAAGTTAACTGCAGTTACAGTTTACATTCTTGGCTTCTGTGTTTATCTTTCATATTCATATATACTCTAGACTTAAATTTCTATAACAGAAAAATAATTTCTTGTCATATTTATGCTGTTCCTTATCCCTTTGCAAATTTCAAGAGCAATGGATATAGCTTCCTTGCCTTTAACCTCAGATAGGACTTTATTTCAAAAAATTTTGCTCACATTTTTAAGGCTTTACAATTGGTTTGTCAAACTCAGAAAAATTCAACTATAGCATTTTAGTAATATCATGTCATAGTTTATGGGGTTTTTGTTTTTAGTGTTGCGGAAATTGAACTATTGACTTGTTGACATAGTAAGGATAGTCTGATTTGAAATATTCATACGTTAGCTGATTTACAATATATTCAGCATCAGAAAAGACTGTTTTAGGGTTTAACAATGAAAAGGCAGGTACTCTAAAAATGTGTTCCTCCCACATACTCATCTGCATAGAATCAGTGGAAAACATGTGGGCAGCCTGGACTTTCACTCTTATCAGTAGTAACAAGATGCACAATTCATTTGTGCTGGGTTGTTGTCAGAGGTAGCCTGGTGGAAAGCCATGAGTTTCACACAGCGGTTCTCAACCTGTGGGTCGCGAACAATGAAAATACATCCTGCATACCAGATATTTATGTTACGATTCATAACTAGCAAAATTACAGTTATGAAGTAGCAACAAAAATAATTTTATGGTTGGGGTCACCACAACATGAGGAACTGTATTAAAGGGTTGCGGCATTAGGAAGGTTGAGAACCACTGGAGAAGCCATCCCCACACCACTCTCTGCCATGGTGACAGTGGAAACCATGTAGGGAGCAGTAAGGAGGCATCTTTCCAGACAGGTTGGGATCAGTGAAGGCCTAATGGTAAGATTGAACTTCCACCCTACTCAGTAGTAATGAGAAACCCTTCCACCATTCCACCAGCCCTTCATATCCACAGAGGCTGAGAAGGAAATCTGGAATTCTACCCCCACCAGGTTGTAAGGCATTACTCCACTTACCCCATCAGAGTGGTGTCAGAGAAGACTTAGTAGTAAGTCTTCAGCTTTAGTAAAACAGGAGATTTAAATAAAATCTATAATCTTATAACACAATACCCTACAAGTTTAGATTTCTGTAGAAAAATCACATATGATACCAAGAACCAGAAGGACATCAACTTGAATGAGATGAGACAAGCAATAGCTACCAGGTGACACAGATGTTAGACTTTATCTGATTAAGATTTTAAAGCAACTATCATCCAAGTGCTTCAGTGAGCAATTGTGAACATACTTCATACATAAAAAAGTAGAAGGTCTCAGCAAAAATATAACAGAAGTTTTGAAGAAGAACCTATGGGAAATTTGAGAATTGAAAAATAGATAACTGAAATTAGAAAAAACTCAACAGAAGGTGGAATGGATAGAAGACAGAATCACTGAATTTGGAGATAGAATAGAAATTACCTACTCTATACAGAAGAGAGGAAAAAATTAAATAAAATGAGCAGAGCCTCAGGCACCTATGGGACTATAACAAAAGATCTTGTATTTGTGTTACTGAAAACCCAGGACAGCTGGAAATATCTCAATTTGTCAAAATACATAAACCTACAGATTCAAGAAGCTGAAGGAACTATAAACAGGATAAACTAAAAGAAATTCACATCAATTGAACTAAAACTGGTTCAGAAAACTAAATATAAAAAAAATTCTTGAAAGCAGTGAGAAAAAAACACCTTAACTATAGGGGGAAAGTAATTAAAATTACAGTAGCTTTCTCATCAGAAACCCAAGGAAGTGCTACAATTGTTTTAAGTGGTCAAAAAGTGCCAATCCAGAATTATATAGCTGATGAAAGTACCCTTTGGTATCAACAGCAAATCAAGACATTCTCAAACGAAGGAAGACTAATGAAAACTTTTACCAGCACATCTACCCTAAAAGATTGGCCAAAATAAGTTATTTAACAGAAATAAATGATAAAATGAATATTGAGACATGAGAAAGGAGGAAAAAAAGCAGGAAGAGTAAAAATATGACTAAATGCAATAGACTTCCTCCTCTGAGTTTTCAAAATTATGCTTGACAATTGAAGTAAAAATTTTTAACAATTTCTGATGTTCTCAATGTATTCAGAGAAATAGCTGCACTAATAAAAGACAAAGATGCTAATTGACCATACCTTCACTACACCCAAGCCATGCCCACCAGCCTATCAGAGTGCCTATATGCAAATTAACCCAACCAAGATGGCGGCTGGCAGCCACGGAGCTGGAGTAAGCCGGAGGCTTGGTTGCCCCGGCGATGGAGGAAGCCAAGCTTCCCACCTGGCCTGGCCAGATGTAGCCTCCACAAAAGGCAACAAAGTTTCAATTATAGAAGCTAAATAAATCCCAGATACCTGCTTCCAGCCAGCCTTCACTGGGAGCTTGGGTGGCTGGGGACTGTGGCCAGCCTGCAAACAGCCATCAGCCCCTCACCCAGAATGCCACACCATCATGGGGTGAGGGTCCCTGCTGGGGGGGTTAGCCAGCCTGCAAAGAGCCATCAGCCCCTCACCCAGACTGGCCAGACACCCCAGCAGGACCCTCCACCTTGAAGGGGGTGTGGCCAGCCTGAAAATGGCCCTCAGCCCGTCACCCAGACTGGCCAGGCACCCCAGCGGGGACCCCTCCCCTGAAGGGGCTGTGGCCAGCCTGCAAACAGCCATCAGCCCCTCACCCAGGCTGGCCACACCCGTATGGGGTAAGGGTCTCCGCCGGGGGGCTTGGCCCACCTGCAAACAGCCATCAGCCCCTCACGCAGGCTGGCCAGGCACCCCAGCAGGACCCCCACCCTGATCCGGGACACCCTTCAGGGCAAACCAGCCAACCCCCACCCATGCACCAGACCTCTACCCTATATAATAAAAGGGTAATATGCAAATTGACCCTAACAGCAGAGAGACTGGGAATCACTGGTTACTATGACACACACTGACCACCAGTGGGCAGACGCTCAATGCAGGAGCTGCCCCCTGGTGGTCAGTGTGCTCCCACAGGGGAAGCTCTGCTCAGTCACAAGCCAGGCTGATGGCTGCCAACACAGCAGTGGTGGTGGGAGCCTCTCCCGCCTCCTCATCAGCACTAAGGATATCCAACTGCAGTTAGGCCTGCTCCCCGCTGGCAAGTGGGCATCCCCCAAGGGCTCCTGGGCTGCCAGAGTGATGTCTGATTGACAGCTTAGGCCTAATCCCCTGGGGAGCAGTCCTAAGCCAGCAGGTGGTCATCCCATGAGGGGTCCCAGATTGCGAGAGGGCACATGCCAGGCTGAGGGACCCTCCCGAGTGCACACATTTTTGTGCACCGGGCCTCTAGTTTAAGATAATAAATAAAGAGGTTCAGGGATATAAATGGACATGAGGGTTATATACTTCACTTGATAGATAAAACATACATATTGTGGGTTGTGATAAGTAATGTGTATATAATGTAATGTGAAAACCCACCACTTAAAAAACTATACATAAAGTGATACATTCAAAACTGCTTAAATAAATCAAAATGGAATTATTAAGAAAGTTCCAATAACTGATATGAAGTCATGCAAAATAAAATAGAGAAATATAACACAGAACAAACGGGAAACAAAACAAAAAATAAAATGGCAGAATTAATTTCTAATCAATTATATTAAATGTAAATAGTCTAAACACACTAATTGAAAAACAGATTTGCAAAGTGGATTATAAACATGGAAGTTTAAGGATTAAAAACATATTATGACTGAAAATATATACAAACATTAATAGAAAGTAGGAGTGCTAAATTAATATATAAAGTACACTTTGTAGCAAATAAAATCACCATGGATAAAGCAGGACATTAATAGAATCATTAGAAGTGTCTATCCAACATTAAGATATAGGTAAGATATATGTGCCAAGAAATAGCATCATAATATATGAAGCAAAATAATAGAGTGGAAAGCAGTAATACACAAGTCTTTAATTACAACTGGAGACTTCACTCCTTTCTCAACAGTAGATAACAAACTAAAGAGGAAACCAGCAAAGATGTAGATTAACTTGATACATCAATCAACAGGATATAACTGCCATTTATAGACTATTCCATTTGACAGCAAGAGAATACACATTCATTTCAAGTACTTATGGAATATATGCCAAGATAAAACAAACCTCAACAAATTTAAAATAATTTAAATCATAGAGTGTGTTTTTCGACCACAATAGAATCAAATTAATCAGAATGATAACAGGAACATCTCCAACAATTAGAAACTAGACAACATACTTCTAAAGAATTCATGGGTCAAAGAAAGTCTCAAGGAAAACACAAAACAAAACATTGAACCGAATAAAAGTGAAAATGCAACATAGTAACGTTTGAGGGTTGTAGCCAAAACAATGCTGCTATCTGAGTTAATGGAATCATTCAAGGTTCACAGGCAGATAGATCGCATATCAGTGAAATAGGATTTTGAGTATTTATTTACTGAGGCTCAGTCTTCCCACTGTTTCAGTAATGTCATCGAATGTTTGAAAGGCCTAAAATAATCCATTGATTCTGCCCTTTGTTTTGGTCCTGTTGAGAATTCAGCATCATTAAAAGAATAGAGATCCTTGCTATTTCTCTGTACTATAGTGGTTCTTAACCATTTCTTGTGTCTCAGGTGGTGGTGGTGTTTTTATGATTTGATAAAGATACCTCCGAAATTCTCATTCCCTCTCAAGCTCTCTCTCTTCACACACACATACACATATATACACCCACACTTGCATGAATACACATGCACATGTATACACATATATAAACACAGTTTTGCATTTAGTTTCAGGTGTTTCAGAGCTCCCCTGAATTGCAGGTTTAGTATTTCTGCAGAAAGAAGCTAGAGCTTTTGTTGTTGAACATTATATGCTCCCCACTTGTATCATTATTAACAGCATTGTATCTTCCTTATGGTGCTAATTGCAGAGCCTGAGCAGCAGAGAGACCAGCTTTCTCCTCAGTGAAGCAGGATTGGTAAGCAATGATCAGTACTATACTTTATCTTTTTAAATTAAATTTATTGGGGTGACATTGGTTATAAGATTATATAGGTTTCAAGTGTTGATTTATTTTTTTTAAATAAAGGAATTTTTTAATTGGTTTTAGAAAGAGGGAAGGAGGGAGGGAGGGAGGGAGAGAGAGAGAGAGAGTGAGTGAGAGAGAACGCGCGAGAGAGCCTTCCTAGCCTCTTCCCCTCTGACAGCTAGCTGTCAGTCTGGTCTCTGTATCTATTAGTCTGTTTCAATTTTGTTTGTTTACTTTGTTCATTAGATTCCATATATAAGTGAAATCATGTGGTACTTGTCTTTCTCTGACTAGCTTATTTCACTTAACCTAATACTCTCCAGGTCCCTCCATGATATTTGAAATCTTTTCTTTAATCCTGGGCAGGATTTGTTAACTCTCTGTCGATTGCTTCACAGCCTGCAAAGAGATACAATTTGTTCCTGAGGCGACGTCTTATGGTAAAAGCAGTGCTGAATGCTGCTGCTTATGCTTGGATAGCTGCAGTGATAGTCTAAGTCATTTTTATCCCAAAGAATAGTATTGATTTTGGAGTAGGGGGGGGTCTTTGTTACTGATTTCCTCTTCCCCGGGCAATTGAAGTTTTAGAATGGTGACTATTAATTTTCTTTTATCTGATTAAAGCTATGGGACCTCTTCCTAAAAATGTGTATGTGTATCATATATATATATGTGTGTGTGTTTATATGTACACACATATATATGTACATACATATAATTTACATACTATTTCAGAACCCCCATCAGGAATCCAAGTCTCTGAAGTTCAGAATAATTACCTAATTCGAAGAAAAGGCCCCAGATTTATAAAAGGCTCATTACATATAGGCATTTCTAAGAGCAAATCAAATATAAACACAAACTCGTACACATACTGCAAAATATCTTAATGTCATGTCTTGGGCAAAACAAAACAATGATGGGTTTTAATAGTATCTGGTTATATATTAAAAATTATCGGGTTTTTCTGCCCCAGTGGCTTCAACTAGTTTTTGTTAACAGTGCTGACACATACCTCATGGTGATTTACAAGGCTACAAGTGATTTTTCCTTAATTTAAAAATGTTTACAGTTTAGTAAGGGCACAACATAATGACAGAAGTTTGGGTTTTCCATGTAGCCTTTGGCTTTCGTAGAAGGGAAGTATATATACCCATTTTGCCTGAACCCTCAGGAAAATAATTGGAGTCACTACTCTTGTAGCTACTTGTTTATTTCTTAATAGTCAAATACTCTGTGATTTTTATTGATTTCTATGTGCACATTTTCTGTTGCCAGAACTGTCCATGGACCTAAATTTAGCTTGTCCAAACAGTAAGAGCACTTTTAAATATATGTTGTTTCCTTTTATAAAATACCATGCAAAATAGCTGTCACAGATTTATAGCAAAAGGATTATTGTTTTTCCCCTCTGTTTTCTGTTTTGATTATATTTATCCTAATCAATTATTTTGGCCCTAGTTAGCTTTCATGAGTTCCAGTGAACTTCATGTTAATACTATGATGATTTACAAAAGAGCTCAAATGGTTTATTTTGTTTACTTTTGCTTTTTTAGTGATTTATAATCAGTATATAAGATAACAGTTTGAGTTTTCTCAGGTGTTTTTTTTTACTTTCTTTTAGGAAAAGGGAGATGATTATGTAATTCTTTTGGAGCATAGAGAACTCAGACATAATATTTGAGTTACTATATTTTGATATTTAATCTTTAGACTCCCTAAATATTTTTGTTTCTTAATCTGTTTTTCCACTCATTTCCTTCTATACATTGGAAACTACTTATTTTGCAGACGCATCAACTATGTGTTCATATAGATAAAATGCAGTTACTCTGCTCATGAAACACAGATCATACATGAGATTTTTGTCTTATTTATACATGACTGATCTACACTCATTCTTTTATATGGGAGGATTGCCTGGCCTGACTTGACTGAAAAACAGCATAGAGCACCATAAAAGAAACTCACAAACTGATATAAATACCAGTTATGAAATTTTAAAAATCTAGTTCTTCATTCACAGGTTAGATACAAGAAAGTTGTCTATATTATAACTTTGCATCACAGACTTAGAGAGATCACTGACATCCACGGCCTATCTGGTTGTATCATTCTAAGTATTATATGGGGCTATTCCAAGAAATACATATAAACCATGAAGAGAATCAGTCAGATATGAAGTTCCTTCTTTCTAAATCTCTCTAGTGTCCTTGTGGTTTTGAAAGGGAAGGCACGAATGAACTATACAGCATATGAAAGTTGAATTTGAAAGTTTGATTATTATACCTAGAGAATCAATAACACAAATTTAAACAAAGGATTGATTTTGGCTCACCTAAGAAATTAATGTTGAAAGATTTGCATGAGACTTTACTTGTAGTGAAGCTAGCCGCAAGCTACCAGCTTCCTAATTTTTTACTGCACTTTGATTTTATTTGAACCCTTTTATGAAATCATAGGATAGGCAATTTTATGAAATCATAATATAGTGAGATTCATTAACTAACCCTAAAGTAGTGTGTGACCATTAATTATTTGTTGGACTAATTGGCATGTTGTTTAATGAAGATAGCAAGTCTCTCTCTGAATATGCATTTTGGGATCAGTGTATACATATATTCATTCTATTTTGGATATAATTTCATCATTTTTGTTGTGTATGCTTGTTAATATACTCAGTTTCATCTGGAATCCTTATTGTTTAATAAACATCTCCTTTATGAAACTTCATTTTCTAAAATAAGCATAATTTTATGTTGATGAAAACTGGTTACTTGTCTTTAACTGTCATTTTAGGACTGAAAAAAATTAGATGGTGACCCAATTTTAGCTGATTAAGGATATCATGTTTTTGCCATTTGAAAATAAAACTGTTCTGTTATTCATGTCTCTTCCAGTTTGATAAAGATAAACAAAGCAAAGACTCCATCTTCTTCCGAGATGGGGTTAGGCGAATCGATTTTGTGCTTTCCTATGTTGATGAAGTAAAGAAAGAAGCCGAACTAAAGATGGTAAGTACTTATGTGAAAGAAATGATAATAAGAGAAAGAAGCACATTCTGTAATTGGACAGGTACGTTCCCAATGAATTATATTGCAAAACTCAGAGGCCTCTGAAGTGTTACCGAAAGCTGAACCTGGTTAAGAGGACTACAAAATAGGCAGCCTAAGAATGAATGAATGTGTAAGATCAGTTCTATTTTTTGGACATTTTATAGAATAACTTCTTTTTCCTCTTCAAAATTACTTCTATTTTTATATAGTTTAGCTTAAATGTTAATTGTTACCTCTAAAATTTGAGTTATATGTCTAAACATAATGTATATTTTTGTATGCAACTTTTGTTTCAATTTTCATTAATCCACTCTATCTGAAATCTCCTTTAGATTATGCTCTGTTCCTTATCTTATTTTCTTTCCATTATAACATGTCCCTTTCTGAACTTACTTATTTTTTTTTTTACTTAATTGCTGTGTCAAACACCATAAATTAAGTTCATAAGACCAAGGACTTTGTCTTGTTCATTGCTATATGCCCAAATGCCTGGGACAGTGGTTGGAGCATAATGGATGCTCAATAAATATTAGGTCCTTAATACTGTCTGGCAGTCATGCTTTACTTGTTTATTCTATTTTTCTCTCTACTTTCCTTGATGACTGTTTTTCAACTTTTTCTCTCTCCTCTCACCTCCAATTCCTCATCCCCATTTTCAAGCTTAGCTGACCATACTTTTCTATTTCACTGGGAAAACTAAAGTAAGTAGAAGAGAAATTCTAAATTTCCATTCACATCTGTCCATTCACCAGCATCTTCACCTGCATAATCTACTATTCTTCCTGTTATCATAGAAAAACTATTATTCTGCCTACAGCCAACACCTCCACTTGTACCCTGGATCCCATTTCTTCTTGCCTACTATTCCGGAGTCACCAATACCACCCCCAGGTTTGGTCATTCATTAGAAGGATACACATGCACTGTATATAGTCATACGCAATGGCCATGTTTTATTGGACTGAAATAATAGAAATAATGCATGAGGCAAAGTCCAGAGGAAAACAGGTGCAAGCTCACAAGATTTTTCTTTCATTGGAGTGGTACAGAATGCACTTAATTCCTCGGGTGAATTGTTGTCTACTAGGGATTTTCATTAAAAACTAAGTGCCCTAGGATATTATTGGGGGCTGGTCACCTTCTCACCTTCTGCCTAGCACACACTAACATGTCATAGTCCCAGATGGAAAGCAAATGATTAGCATAAACGGCATTGTTTGTATAAACAGTTAAGGTAAATTGAGCAACTTTTATCACTTCTGGGAGTTGTGGGAACCCCCCCGAAAGCCAAGTTCCCAGACCTGAGCGCCACTCTTGTAGGCAGGCCTTTCTAAGAATAGCACTTCCAAGCCTGTAATACTAACTTCTCTGTATGCCTGTGTTGTTCTTTACTGGGCTATTTTTTTTTTAACAAACACATCTGCTGTTAATTCTTCCATATTAAAAAAAAAAGCAAGAACAAATACTATCACTTGATCTCAATAAAAATAAATAAATAAAATATCACCACTTGGACAAAAAAAAAAAATAAAATGTTATTTTAAAAAAGTAAACTCATGATAAATGCATCAGTTAACAAGATGGGCAGCAGGGCTTTAAAAAATATTTTCTTGTTCATAGATGAATGAGAATTATTCCTAGAATGAGATGGTTCAGCTTTGAATATAGTCCTCTTTTGTTTTTATATATGTTTAGTGTGAATTAAGCTTGTCTAGATAAATAAATAGATTGGAATAAAAAGATGATTGCTCTAGTAATTTTAATCTTTTTTTGAAATCCTGAATTATACAAAGTGATTCATCATAAAAGTAGTGTTTAATGGTCTATGAACTAACAATCCTATTTCCTCGAACTCAGAGAAGCAGTGACTATATGACTTACAAAAGCAATTGTTATTACAATGAGAAGGATTATTCACTTTTTCAATACTGATACAATATTTTTAAGACTTTTAATAATATTTTTTTATTTATTTAGAGAGGAAAGGAAAGGAGAGAGAGAGAGAGAGATATGAATCAGCTGCTTCCCACAAACACACTGACCAGGACTCGAGCCCACAACCTGGGCATGTGCCTTGACCAGGAATCCAACTGGCAACATTTCAGTGTGGGACATTGCTCAGCCAATTGAGCCACACTGTCCATGGCATGATACAATACATTTAATGTCTCTCTCCTTTTTTTGCTTCCTGTTTGTCCTTTTCTGGTAACATAGGAGAAGGGCAACTATGAAAGGGTAGCTGAGGAAGGAACCTTGCATCATTATCACAGGCCTGTTTTGAGATGTAGTGAACATATAGTAAACATTGGAAGAGGAGGGAAAGGACATATTAAAATAACTTTTCCTGGTCCAGTGTGGCTCAGTAATTGAGTGTTGACCTAGGAACCAAAAGGTCAGGGATCGATTCCCAGTCAGGGCTCATGCCCAGGTTGTGGGCTTGATCCCCAGTGTGGGGCCTGAAGGAGGAAGCTGATCAATGATTCTCTCTCATCATTGATGTTTTTATCTCTCTCTTCCTCTTCCTTCCTCTCTCTGAAATCAATAAAAATACTTTTTAAAACTCCTATATAATAAAGAGGTAATGTGCAAATTGACCCTCATGCCATAACGCCATGACAAGATGGGTGCCCTGCCCAGCCCCTCCCCAGGTCCCACCCCTCATCAGCCTCTCCCACCCCAATTGAGGGTGGGGTGGCTAGCCAACCTCCTCACCCCCCATGGCCCCTCACCTAGGCCAGCCATGCCCCCACGCTTTCCCAGGGCTTGGGGTACCCCAGGCAGGCTGCAGGCACAGCGTTGGTCAGAGGCAAAGGTCCTGGCTGTCCCTGGCCTAGAGAGTCCAGAAAACCTCAGCAGTGACCAAAGACCAAGACTGAGTGGAAAGGTCCCTGCCGGCGCTTATGGCTCAAAGTGCCAGGAGGAGGCATAGCGTCTTGAACCTGCAACCCTGGCATCTGCACACCAAGCCTTGGGGCACACCATGCCGGTGGAGCCTGTGGGTGAAAGGGGGAGAGCAGGGAGCTGGGTGCGGAGCTGGGAGAGGCCTAGAGTCTTCGGGAGCAGCCCACCTGCCAAGGTTGCTATAACCTGCTCTTGGGCTTGGTCAAAGTCCCTGGTCAGCTCTGTCACTTGCCTTCCAGGTGTAGCTAGCCCTGAGCCAGCTGGCTGGCACTGCACTCAGAGAAGCAGCTGTCACTGGGCTCCATTAAATAAGAGAAATCAAAGAGCCGGGAGTAAATATCCTCCCAGCCCCTTCCTATGCCCCTGGGCGAGGAGAGCTGGGGATGGGGGTAATGGAAAATGGCTGCTGCTTTGCATTTTATAATGAAAAGACTCCTGCTATGTAGAGAGGTGAGCTGATTCATTTCCAGCAACACCGGGCATGTTCCCTGCCCCAGCCCTGAAGCCTGACAGCACCTAGCAAAGGTGTGTCCACACAGTCATGTTGGCCTGGCTCCTGGAACATTGGGAGCAAGTTTGAGCTGCACTGATTAAAAAAAAAAGTAAAGATTGAAAAACACCTCTTTGTACTCAAATGGCACTATAAAATGCAGATTAGAGCATCTGATTTTGTCTTCTGTGTTGGTTTTGAGGCAGAGCACAAATAGGTTCATTGGAAAAGCAGAAAAAAAATCAAAGGGAAAGGGAGAGGATTCTGATTCTGTCATCCACAGCACTGAACTTTGTTTTATGTTTTTTTTGTTGTTATTTTTCCTTCTGTTCTTCAAGTCAGTATATGTCATTTAAACCACTTTATGGCATTAGGTAATGAGCTAATGCTTGCTCTATTAAGAGCAAGTAGCAGTGCCTTTCATATGAGTCACATACATTTAATCCATTCAAATAGAGCATACTGAGTGGAGAGAATGGTATGTGTCATTATATAAAGAACTTGGCAGTAGGATGCTATCTGGCTGAAGATCTTATTTATTTTGCAATTTGGAGAATGCAGATAAATCAGGCATTGAAAATGAATGTGCATGCTTAAATTCATGACTTTATTTTCATCTGTAATGACCACGACTGGTCACCAGGAGGTGCATTGATGGGTCTCGCAGCACAGCGGGTCTGGATGAGGCTGCATGGCGTGGGCCAGGGCCAGGAGACCTGAGACTGCATCCCCCGCCCAGCAGGGCTTGACAGGGGTGGGGCTGGCCAGGTCTTGGTGTTGCCCAATGGGGGTGGGGCCAGCCGGACACTTCTATTATAGAGAAAGAGCAAATAGCAATATTAAAATATTTTCTCTAATTAATTCCCTTTTAATGTGTATGAATTTTGTGCACCAGGCCACTAGTAAAGATATAAAAGAATCTTTTATTCCTTGTAAAAGATTACATCTCAAGGTATCCATTTGAAGATGAGTGTCCTCTAACATCCTAGCAAAGCCTTTTAAAATTTCCATTATTATGAAATTTTTCACAATGAAATCATAATTAAAACCAAAAGTTTTTTCAGCAATTAGTGCATAGTTTAGAAGCCCACAAGTAGTGATTATTTGCATTTAATTTAATTTTACTTTTTCTAAGTGAACCTGTTCTTTTCTTTAAGACTAAAACATCGTGATGATATTTTGGTTTAAAATTGTCTTATGTATCTCATTTATTTGAAGGGTACTGATAGCTTTGTAACACTGTGTCTTCCTAACTAGGAGCATAATCTGTTTCTCTATTTTTTGTTCTTATTTAGTAAAGTTTTGTGCATTTTTTTTCAGATCGAGATCCTGCACTCTTCCTGGAGATTATCCTTAGATATATTGGAATTTATGAGTTAAAGTCCTGGTGAAAAGCAGCACATGACATTGAGATGGGGATTCTACATAGAGTACTTTTAAATGAAACCATAGGAGGGGCAATGGACCCTCAGAGGCATCTTCATTATGTAACAAGTCTATCATGGTGTAAATGGAAATGTTCTGCATAATTCTGTTGATTCATTTTTCCATAGGAAAGAAGAAAAATGTTTGAAGACAACCTCAGAAAAACAGGTCTTGAATTGGAAATTGAAGACAAAAGGGTAAAGTAGTTAATTTATACCAGAACCTTGGTGTTAAAATGTTCTTTTCTTCTACTCTGGCCTTTGACTAGATAAACCTTGTCTTGGGAGCAATACATTAGTTTTTCTTTTTTGGCTACAAATGTGTACACTGGAAATGGTAATACCTGTGATTGTTCAGGTAAGTTGGTTTTTGCTCTGTGAGATGATGAGTGGAACACTTGACAAATAGATGTAAATAATTCTGTTTAGGATATGAAGAAAGTGAAAACATGGTTTTTGTTTTATATCTTTCTCATTGTGAAAGCTGCCTATAATCTGGCATCCGATCTAGTTAGCCTGGCTAATTTGTAGCTGATATTTAAGCCAAGGAACGTTTCTGCTCATGAATATGACACAATTTTTTTTTCTAACCCACTACTATTTTTCTAGAATTTCCTTCAAAATTATTTTTAAGACATATTTAAGTTTCTATTCTGTCTATGAAACTCTAATACTCTTTAGTTCTAAATTAACACTCGTTAGCTCTTATCTATCCCTGTTTTTACTGAACTAATAAGTATGTATTATACCACACACTCTATAACTAAAATATAACCATTCTTCTGTTTAATGAACCCTTATTTTCTAAAGTACTTCCTCTAGGTCAGGGTTTGGGATTTGGTGTGGCCCTGCCAAGGCATTAGGGGTGAGTTAATTAAATGTTTGATCAAATATAGCAGGTTAATTTTAAGTTGATTATTTTGTATGGCCCTTGAGTGATGTTATAAATATCCAAATGGCCTTTTGCAGGAAAAATAGGGTAGGCTATACATGCTCTAAGTTTGGGCTATACACAGAAGTTAGGGAAAAAGAGTGACTGCATCTTATACTTCCTAAGTGTTCCACATATACCCTAAGCACAATTCTGAGCACATGGCTAGTTGCTAAATCAATACTTAAGAGATTGCCCAGAACACATATGTATCTGTGGATTTCAGGCTAGTATACATTGACACTGAAATATGTATTTTAAAATATCTTTCTTTACCTCTCTCTCTCTCTCTCTCTCTCCCTCTCCCTCTCCCTCTCCCTCTCTCTCTTTCTCTCTCTCTCGACACACACACACACACACACACACACACACACACACAGTCCCCCAAAAATGTATACATATTTTGCAGCTGGTAACACAATTGATGTTTCTTTTCAGATTTAACCCATTGGAATTAATTACTCAAAATGTGTATACATTTTTGGGACACCCTTTATGTAAAACCTATATATACAGTATACAACTGTCTTGACCATTTGCTCTTCTAAAAGTTTTGCTGAATTTCAGTAGATTGAAAAATGCTGTGATATCTTTAATTTGTGTTTTTATATAATTCCGTTTCTTTTCTTTAATTAGCTCAGTAATAAACATACTAGTCAGCTTTCTTTTATTTTGCCTCTTTTTGTATAGAACTCTGAAGATGGAAAAACTTACTTTGTCAAGATCCATGCCCCTTGGGAGGTATTAGTTACTTATGCTGAAGTGTTGGGAGTCAAAAGGCCAATTAAGGAGAGTGATATTCTGCGACCGGAGAAAAGCTCCTTCCTTCTTGGGCCTCTGAAGCTCCCAAAGAATGTGAAGCATCCTGATCCGGATTATTTCACTGTCCAATTTAGCAGACATCGCCAGGAACTCTTCCTCATTGAGGACAAGTCAAGCTTCTTTCCATCCTCATCAAGAAACAGAATTGTAGGTAGAGAAGCCATCTGGGCATATCCCTTCCAGTAAGGGATGTGGGCCTTTGTTTTCCTTTATATGTGCGCATGGGCAATACTGTGTCAGCAGGTGTTTCTGTGGAAATTTCAATAATTTATTTAGTGGTATTGGGCATGTTTGAAATTTCACTTGGCCCACTTAAGTGTGTTAACCTCCCTAGTTCTCAAACTATTGTTTAAAATTGAATGGTGGCCATTGTGGACATAGTAAAGAAAGAGACATCATGCAATGATGGGAAAGGCATTTAATTGAGAACAGGACTTAGCTTTTATAAGATATTTGCAAAATGGTTTTATGATCTTAGAGTTTGGTTTTGTAAATTTAGTGCATAGTTGGAGGAATACTGATTGTTCCAAATGGAAATGGAATGCTTTATATATAGACTAGAGGCCCGGTGCACAAAAATTTGTGCACTTGGGTGGGGTGGGGGGTCCCTCAGCCTGGCCTGTGCCCTCTTGCAGTCTGGGACCCCTCGGGGGATGACCACCTGCTGGCTTAGGCCTGCTCCCTGGAGGATTTGGCCTAAGCTGGCAATCAGACATCCCTCTGGCAGCCCGGCTGCCCTCGGGGGATGTCCACTTGCCAGCGGGGAGCAGACCTAAGCTGCAGTCGGACATTCTTAGCACTGCTGAGGAGACAGGAGAGGCTCCCACCACCACCGCTGTATTGGCAGCCATCAGCCTGGCTTGTGGCTGAGCAGAGCTCCCCCATGTGGGAGCGTACTGACCACGAGAGAGCAGCTCCTGCATTGAGCGTCTGCCCCCTGGTGGTCAGTGTGTGTCATAGTGACCAGTCATTCCCAGTCTTTCTGCTGTTAGGGTCAGTTTGCATATTACCCTTTTACTATATAGGATAGAGGCTTGGTGCACAGGTGGGGGTCGGCTGGTTTGCCCTGAAGGGTGTCCCGGATCAGGTTGGGGGTCCCGCTTGGGTGCCTGGCCAGCCTGGGTGAGGGGCTGATGGCTGTTTGCAGCTGGCCACACCCCCTACAGGGTGGGGGTCCCCACTGGGGTGCCTGGCCAGTCTGGGTGAGGGGCTGAGGGCCGTTTTCAGGCTGACCTGTGACTAAAGCTCCCAGCCTCTCCTTTCTTTCTTTTTTTTTTATTCTGGGATTTATTTACCTTCTATAATTAAAACTCTGTTGCCATCCTGCTCGCTCCAGCTCTGAGGCCGCGGCTGGCTGAAAGCAGGTATCTGGGGTATGTTTAGCTTCTATAATTGAAACTATGTTGCCGACACTGGAGCTAAGAGCCCGCTCCAGCTCCATGGCCACGGCCGGCTGAAAGCATGTATCTGGGGTCTGTTAGCTTCTATAATTGAAACTTAGTTGCTTTCAGAGCTCTGAGCCAGGCTGCGGCAGGTGGGGAACCTTGGCTTCCTCCATCACTGGAGCAAGCAAATCTCCTGCTCGCTTCAGCTGGTGGCTGCCGGCCGCCATCTTGGTTGGCAGTTAATTTGCATATCTCGCTGATTAGCCAATGGGAAGTGTAGCGGAGATATGGTTAATTACCCTTTTTGTCTTTTATTAGATAGGATAGCATTTGAGAAACCACAGAACTTTTTCTTTTCATTAAGACTATTTTAGTCTTTTCAATAATAATATTTCGTCTCCATTTGTAGTCCTAGGATCTTTAAGTTCACCATTAAAACCTCTCTTCTAAAGAATCACATTTCTGTGCCATAGTTTCTTTGTGTTAAGATAGGAATAATATCTACCTCTCATTACCCTGAGAATTGAGTTTAGGTATGAAAGCTTTAACAGTTTCTGAAATATAGTAAGTGCTCAGTAAGTGTTAGATATTATTTCTACTGGTGTGATTTTAGAGGGGGAAAAAATGCAGGTTCTTTGTTGCTCTTACACCTTCTCTCTATTGCATATTAATGTAGTCACCAGGGTTCTAACAATCAAAAGACCCTTCCCTTGATTTTACTTACTCTGTTTCCCTGAGCAATTGAAGACTTCATTCCCTTTAGGTTCAGTACTTTTAAGTGTCTTAGAAGGATTTTAAAATAATAAGTTTTCTAGTTCCTACCTCTATTTTTTAATAATTCACTGACAGAAATATTAAATAAAATGTAATGCCTAGAATTAATGTATAATGGTATGAATCTACAAACTAAAAATTGTGTCCCCTTTTCTACCAAGATTAAATAACAACAACAAATCTAGGAGGCAGCCTATAGGTAAATAAATAAAGAGCACATGGCATGGAATCAGAAAATCTGGTTTCAGGTCATGTGTCTGCTTCTTTCTAAATATATAACCTCTTTTAAAATAGAGAGAATGATAATACTGGAAATATTGGGAGAATGAAATAAAAGAATGTCTGTGAGACACTCATAAACTGTGAAGTACTTCAGATATCCGTGTTACACTGAAAAGTTGCTAACAAAAGACCAGTGACTCTGTAGGGACAAATTAGGAACTTGATCAGGAACAGAAATGTCAGTATTCATTCATCTGTAGTTGTTGTTTGTAAAGAGTGTCAGTACCTTAGGTTAATTTAGTTTTAAAATTCAATAATTTCCTCTCATAAAGCAATACTATTCTTGCTCTGTTGAGGAAGTTCTTTGGGAGGGTAATGTAGAAAAGTCCTTTCCTTACTAACTTCATCCCAACCACTATAGTTTATGTATGTACAGATTGAACAGTATTGCAAGAGCATTTACATTGGTATGGAATTTCATACTTTTTAAAATATATTCACAACCATGTGATATATGCCCCTCACAATCTGCATTTTGTAACATCTTACATAAATGTAACATAATTCTATTAAACATTTCCACTTCCGACAGCCATTGAGTTTGCTTCCAACTCTTCTGATATTACAAACAATTCTGCCCTTTACAGCATAATATTTACATATTTCAACATATATATAAATTTTTCTGCAAGATGGATACCACATTAAATTTCTAAATCTAAATGCACACACATTTAAAATTTTATACAGACTGCACTTTCCTGCTTTATAAAAAGATGTACTAATTTAGAATCCTAGTAACATAAATAGAGAAGGACCCACAAGTCATAAATGTACATCTCACTGAGTTATCACAAAATGCACAGCCATGTAATCCCCACCCACATCAAAAGAGAAGATATTTCTAACACCCCAGAAACCTTAGTGCCTTCTCCCAATCACTATTCCATTCTCTGGAGCAGAGATCAACTGTAATTTCTCACAGCAGAGATCATTTTAAATTAAAACAAATAAGCAAAAAACAAAAACAAAAACAAAAGAATCATACAGCATTTGGCTCAGCATTTATTCGAATGGTTAACTTAGCTTTGTATGAGCTTCTTCCCATTTATTTGTGTTGTTTTGTATGGAAATTGTGTATGTGTTTTATTATGGTTTTAATTTGCATTTCTCTGATAGGAAGGAGATTGATCTCCATGTATATGTTTATTGGTCATTTAGATAAAGCATTTCTATGAAATCCCTGCAAAAGTCTCTTGTCTGTTTTTAAATTAAGTCTTCGCTTGTTGATTTGTAACAACTGTTTTTATTTCCATTTATTATATATTTTATTGATCTTTTCCTACTTTGTGCTTCTCTCTCTTTTTTTAATTTATTTATTTTTTTAAATGTATTTTATTGATTTTTTACAGAGAGGAAGGGAGAGGGATAGAGAGTTAGAAACATCGATGAGGGAGAAACATCGATCAGCTGCCTCCTGCACACTCCCCACTGGGGATGTGCCCTCAACCAAGGTACATGCCCTTGACTGGAATCGAAACCAGGACCCTTGAGTCCACAGGCCGATGCTCTATCCACTGAGCCAAACCGGTTAGGGCCTCTCTCTTTTTTTTAATGGTTGCTTTTGATGAACAGGTGTTTTCTTTGTTTTGTTTTTTTAAATATATTTTTATTGATTTCAGAGAGGAAGGGAGAGGGATAGAAACATCAATGATGAGAGAGAATCATTGATCAGTTGCCTCCTGCTTGCCCCCTACTGGGGATCAAGCCTACAACCTTGGCATGTGCCCTTGACTGAAATCGAACCAGGGACCTTTCAGTCTGCAGGCTGATGCTCTATCCATTGAGCCAAACCAGCTAGGGCTGAACAGATGTTTTTAATTTCAATGTAGTCCACTGTCTCAAGCCTTTGCTTTATAAATAATGCTCTTAAACTTTGCCAACAAGATCATGCAGTTAATTTCCTACATTATCTTCTATGAGTTATATTATTTTGATTTTCACAATGAGAACCGCTATCCACCTGGAAAAAATTGTTGTGTGTGGTGTGAGATGGAGTCCATTTCCCCCATATGTATAGTCATTTAACTTGCTCCAATTACTGAAAACACTCAGACTTTTTTAATACTATCTTACAATTCTACTTTTATTATAACTCACTATAGGCATGGGTCTTCTGAGGGGCTTGATTCTATGCCTTTGACCTCTTTGTCTATTTTTGTATCAGTGCTGACCATGTTGAACTTTACCTGTGTTCTGTAGTCTTAGAAAACAGGAACAGTTAAAGAAAACCCCCACTGTTCTCATTCTGGGAAACTGCTCACATAGAGAACCACCCTTCCTCATATGACTTAAAGAATATTCATAACCCTCACCTCCTACTCTGATTTGACAGAACCATTTGCCACGTTATTCATCACAAATTCAACTGGTAATTGAAGTGTTTATCTGGGTTAGTTGTCTTTATCCAAAAATATAAAACTTCTTTTATTTTTTATATTTGTATTGATTTCAGAGAAGAAGGGACAGGGAGAGAGAGATAGAAACATCAAGGATGAGAGAGAATCATTGATTGGCTGCCTCCTGCATGCCTCATGCTGGGGATCGAGCCCACAACCTGGGCATGTGCCCTGACCAGGAATCAAACCACAAGCTCCTGGTTCATAGGTTGATGCTCAACCACTGAGGCACGCCAAGTGGGCTCATTGTATTAGTTTTTGGTGTACTAGATTAACTTTAAATATCTGAAGTCCCACCGGATTTTTAAATTTTGTATTTGGCTGGCTTTTTTCCTATTTGTCCTAAGTACAACCTATTTTAATTGAACTCACCCCTACTAAATACTCAATTTAAGAAACTGATATAAATAATAATGATGTAAATACAATCAGAAAGGCAGAAATTCTGAAAAGTTGCTGGAACACAAAAAGCAGGTAAGATTGAATTGACAGACATATAAGAGCAGAAGACACCAAAGTCTACAGTATATAGAAGAGAAAACTGATTAAAGATATGAGTGATTGCACAATAATTATAGAGAAAGGATAATCTGAGTTAATAAATTCAGATAACAGGGAAAATAGATCATCAGTGTACAAAGAAGTATTTGAGACAGCTTGTCCAAATATCATTTCTACTCTATATTCCCCTAGTTGAATTGGTGGTGGTGACATTAGACTCCAACTTGAAGCCCTAATTATGGCAGGAATTCTGGCACAATAGACTTCCAGAGGATTGTGGGAAATAAGAAGCAAAATAAGTTATGATTCACTCTCTACTCTCCCTAAGGCAGTGGTTCTCAACCTTCTGGCCCTTTAAATACAGTTCCTCAAGTTGTGACCCAACCATAAAATTATTTTCGTTGCTACTTCATAACTGTAATGTTGCTACTGTTATGAATCATAATGTAAATATCTGATATGCAGGATGGTCTTAGGCAACCCCTGTGAAAGAGTCGTTTGACCGCCAAAAGAGTCACGACCCATAGGTTGAGAACCGCTGCCTATAGGAATAGGAGGCTCTCATACCCAGGAGCTGAAATACCTGCAAACTCCAAATAGTCCCACCCTCCACCTTTTCCCCCAAACAACAAAGGGAAGATTCTTTCTGTAATCAGAGCCCCTATCTACATTCAGACAAAGTAGACATATTTAAATTGTGCTTGACAAAAATGTCAAAAAAGTTATGAAATGTGTGCCTCTTTATGCTTATCTTACAGGTTTATTATATTCTTACCCGATGTCCTTTTGGCATAGAAGAAGGGAAGAAAAAGTTTGGGATTGAAAGACTGCTGACTTCTAACACTTATTCAGCTGCCTATCCACTCCATGATGTAAGTCTTAGTTTGGTTTTGAAATACTGAGCCCATTTTCCCTCTCACACATTCAGAGGTTGCCCTATTGGGAGAGAGAATCTTCCCTTTGCTTTCTCTTTTTTGACAGGTTGCTTAATTCTCTCATGTGTTGGGAAAATCCCCCAAATGTACCCTAGTTCCAAGCTGAGAGGAGGCAGAGAGAGAATGTATAATTATAAGTACTCTGAAATAGAGTTAACATTTCTTCACACTGAAGTTTTAATGGAAATAAATTCATTTGGGGAAAATTATTACATTTGCACATGACTTTTTTAGGACCCATATTGAAAATGCAGTTATAGTAAAACATTTTAGAGTATAACATTTAGAATTTCTATCTGAATTTATCAGATCTTTTATCATAAAGTTTTAAAGCTGTAAAGAATTTAAATTACATGAATGCACTTAATGCATGCACATATTTAGTCATCAAAGGAATAATTTGTTTTAATTGTATATAAAGCATTCTGTTAGGTATCATTGGAAGACATCAATGAGTCACTCATAGACTAGGAATTTCTGGGAAATAAAGCATGTACACAACTTCAAAACAAGCTAAAGACAGATACACTAATAAAAAGACAAACATGCAAATTGACCATACCTTTGCTATGCCTTAAGCCATACCCACCAGCCAAACAGAGTGACTATATGCAAGGTAAATAAACCCCAGATACCTGCTTTCAGCCAGCCGTGGCCACGGAGCTGGAGCGAGCAGGAGGCGTGGGTTGCCCCTGGCGATGGAGGTTACCAAGCTTCCCTTCCACCCACACTGGCCGACTCTGAGCTCCTCTCAAGGCTACAAAGTTTCAATTATAGAAGGTAAATAAATCCCAGAATAAAAAAAAGAAAAAAAGGAGAGGCTGGGAGCTTCTGTTGCTGGGGGGACTTGGCCAGCCTGAAAACGGCCCTCAGCCCCTCACCCAGTCTGGCCAGGCACCCCAATGGGGACTCCCAACCCTAAAAGGGGTGTGGCCAGCCTGAAAACAGCCATCAGCCCCTCACCCAGGCTGGCCAGGCACCCCAGTGGGGACCCCCACCCTGAAGGGGCTGTGGGCATCCTGCAAACAGCCATCAGCCCCTCACCCAGGCTGGCCAGGTACCCCAGTGGGGACCCCCACCCTGAAGGGGCTGTGGGCCTCCTGCAAACAGCCATCAGCCCCTCACTCAGGCTGGCCAGTCAGCCCAGCAGGATCCCCACCCTGATCCGGGACACCCTTCAGGGCAAACTAGCTGGCCCCAACCTGTGCACCAGGCCTCTATCCTATATAATAAAAGGGTAATATGCAAATTGACCCTAACAGCAGAGAGACTGGGAATGACTGGTCACTATGACACACACTGACCACCAGGGGCAGACGCTCAATGCAGGAGCTGCCCTCTGGTGGTCAGGGCGCTCTCACATGGGGGAGCTCTGCTCAGCCACAAGCCAGGCTGATGGCTCCCAGTACAGTGGTTGTGGTGGGAGCCTCTCGCGCCTCCTCAGCAGCGCTAAGGATGTCCGACTGCTGCTAGGCCTGCTCCCCGCTGGCAAGTGGACATCCTCCGAGGGCTCCCAGGCTGCCAGATGGATGTCTGACTGCCAGCTTAGGCCCAATCCCCTGGGGAGCGGGCCTAAGCCAGCAGGTGCTCATCCCCCGAGGGGTCCCAGACTGCGACAGGGCACAGGGCAGACTGAGGGACCCCCCCCAAGTGCACAAATTTTTGTGCACCAGGCCTCTAGTCAGTCCATAAGAAAGATTCAGACAAATAACTGAAATTCACAAGAATGATTCTTTGAGGCTGTCAGATCATTGTACAAAATTATTGAGCTTTATAAGATCAATGAGGAAGTGACATTTTTTTATGATGCCCCGTTCAACCAAACCTGAAATCTTGACAGCCTAGTTTCTGGGGGCTTCTGAGGGAAAACTTTCCTGTTAGATATTACATGTCTAAATATCACCACCCATTGGAAGTAGAAATCATATAGCTAAATATATATAAACTATTTTGACATCATCTTTTGGAACTTTCATTTATTTTATTCCTGTTTTATTCTTCCATACTTATAAAAGACTTTTTAATGACATGCTCTCTGTTGGAGAAACACATTCCTTAGGAATATAGAAGAACCAAGTGTTTCCATTTAAACAGGTGGCATCTAAGTCATTGCTCATGTTTTTGAAGGCAGTGTTGTTGTTGTAGTTTTGAAAAACCCAAAGCCAAGCTCTCTCTGTTCTGGGACTTACACTGTTGTGCCAACTGTCCTCTGTCAGTATTCATTCAGCAACATGCTAATTGACTCTCCTCAGTTCAATACTGTTTAGTTGATTATCTGTGGTTTGGTTCCTATAAGGGTGCAGCAGAATTTTCCCTGAATGAATACTCTTTTCAACAGGAGTATCAATTCAGGCGAAACCATCCTCCCCACCCTTCCAAGCCTTGCCCCTTCCCTTCTCCCATATTTTTTCCCTGGGGCAAAATAAATTCTAGAAGATTATGAATTCTAAAAAATGCCATGGGCATAAATAGAGAGATCTATAGTAGGTTAGTGAACATTGGCAATGCATTTTTTTTGTCAATTTTTTTCACATAAGGGCTCATTCAGTTCTTTGAAGATTTTGAGGATTGTTTATTTTTAGAGCATTAATTCTCTTCCTAATCCAAGTTCATAAAGCCAAACTAAAAAGACCAAATATCCTCAATCACCAAAAATTTTAATCCATACATCTAGCCTTCCAGTATGCTTATTGGAAAATCAGTATTACTGCAGCATTGTTAGTGAGAGCTTTAATTTACTGTTAATCTATTTTTTTTAAAAAATATATTTTATTGATTTTTTTTTTTAAACAGAGGAAGGGAGAGGGATAGAGAGTTAGAAACATCGATGAGAGAGAAACATCAATCAGCTGCCTCCTGCACACATTCTACTGGGGATGTGCCCACAACCACAGTACATACCCTTGATGGAAACGGACCTGGGACCCATCAGTCCACAGGCTGACGTTCTATCCACTGAGCCAAACTGGTTAGGGCTAATTTTACTTTTTATTTCTTCCCTTCCCCCTGAATTCAAGTTTATATGCTGGATTTTCCTTTATGTACTTTAGAGAATCATTTTTCCAGATACACAGATAGGCTGCTTCTTTTTCTATTTCAGTCCTCAAGATTCAGTAGGATTAACTACAGAAGAAGAAAACTGTTGGAATCTGGATAATATAAAATGTTACACATTATCACATAGAGATATTCACATGTGCTTAATTTGGTGTTTATTTATTGCTGTCTTGAGCAGTTCACTTGTCTAGGCGAGCAGTTACAAAGAACGTATTGAATAGCTGGGTAGGCCGTGTTCTGCTGAGGGGTGTTAATAACCTTGCACAATACCTAACAGTGGAGAGAGAACTTAGGCATGAAGCAGTACTGAGACTCTTAAGTGCTAAAGTTTGTTGTATAGATGTTAAGGTCTTTGGGAAATGGATATCAGTGCAGATAAGACAGGTTCCCTAGAGGGGATTCCTGTCATAGCAGTATGACTTTGGATCACCCATTTAACTGCTCTTGGGGTTTATCTTTCAATCTCTACAATGAAAGTGTTAGCTTATTTCTAAAGTCCCAGCCAGGTATATAATTCATATGCATCTTGAGCTGTGCATATTATGTTGGATTTGAGTAGAACAGAAAGGGTACTCCTGGTGAAAAGAATAGCTTGAGTAAAGCCAGAGCCTTTAAACTTGCATTTTTAAATAATTGGGTGTGAGAATTTAATAAATAAATCACTATTATTATAGTTTACTAGAGGCCTGGTGCATGACGTTCATGCACTCGGGGGTGGGGAGTAGGGGTCTCTCAGCCTGACCTGCACCCTTTAGCAGTCTGGGAGCCCTTGGGGGATGTCCGAGGGGGCAGGGCTAAGCCGCAGTTGGACATCCTTAGCATTGCCACAGAGGCATGAGAGACTCCCGCCACTGCCACTGCGCTCTCCAGCCGTCAGCCCAGCTTGTGGTTGAGCAGTGTTCCCCCTGTGGGAGCACACTGATCACCAGGGGGCAGTTCCTGCATTGAGCGTCTGGCCCTGGTGGTCAGTGCACATCATAGAGACCAGTCATTCTGCTGTTTGGTTGATTTGCATATTACCCTTTTATTATATAGGATTATAGATTTTAGTAAATAATTTCACATTCATTCATTTTCACATGAAAATCCCAGTCTAAAAACAAGGTCAAAAATACTTTTATATTTCACTAACCTCATAAAAGCTGTGTTTGTTTACTTTTCACCCTCATTTTTTGCTTGGTCATTAATGTACTTTCTTCTTGAATATTTGTAGGGTCAATATTGGAAGCCATCAGAACCTCCTAATCCTACCAACCAAAGGTACATACTTTTCCAGAACTGGGCTCGGTTTTCCTATTTTTACAAGGAGCAGCCTTTCGACTTGATTAGGTAAGTTTCTTACATAAGATCACACTGATGATTAAAACTTGATCATGTGATTTTATTTACAGTGGCATCATATTCCATTCTTTTTACTACTATTACCCACTATATTTTACACCTTCCCAATTTTGTATCTACACTATCATTTAGTCATTCCTTTGTGAACACAGTGCTGTTACCAGAATGCTATTAACCACCCTGCAGAGATAGCTCAGTGGCTCAGAGGTTGGGCCTTGGTATTTAGGTAGGCTGGGTTCAAGTCTAAGTTCTCCCTCCTAGAAGCTATCTAAACTTGTTCAAGTTCTTAACATCTATGACGCTCATTTGTAAAATGGGAATGACTAGTACTTTCCTTTTGGGGTTATTTCATTCTTAAATGAGATATACGTTTTTAGCACAGGAGCTAGCACTTACTGCTTAATACATAATATTTTTGTTTCGTTTTCCTCTCATTCCTGGAATTTAGATGATAGCAGAAAGGTTGTGTATAGCTCTGTGTGTGTGTGTGTGTGTGTGTGTGTGTGTGTGTGTGAAGACAATTGCTCTATAACCTCTTTTTTTGTTGTTGTTGTTTTTCTTCTTTCATTTTTGGGCTCAGGCAGTTGACAAGCTTGGTGTCTGAGCCTGTCTGAGATCCATGCTCTCAGACAATTTCTCAGGCAGTTTTATTAGTTAAGTAAGAAGACTATGGCTCCAGGCTGCTGCTTCAAACCATTACAATACTACATACATACAGGATATTAGGGGCCTCCTGCTATGATTTCAGTAAAGGAATAATCAGATTAGAACAATTCTTTTGGTGATTAATGTTTCTACTGCAATGCTTGTATGGCATCCTTTTTAGGAGACTGATTTTGATGCAAACATCCAAATCAATTGAAATGTTATCACAACAGTTTTCTCTAAGCAAATAAGGGGAAACTTTTAAGGATAAAAGATAGCTGGAGCATATAAACTAATGTTTCTGTAAATCATTATATGAACTTTATTTCTTGAGGACTTTTTTATTTTCAAGGAATAAGATTCTGCTATTTGAAAGGGAGGAAAATGTAATTCTTTAAAAATAAGGTTGTTTAAATACTCAGCTTTCTCTATGAGTTCTTGAAGAATTTTTACAGTAATAGTTATGTCTTCAAAAATGATTGATTCTGTGTTTTTTAAAACATCAAATGGAAATAGACATGATAAATAGTAAACACCACAAAATCAATTTTTTTTCTCTTTTTAAAAATGTTTGATGGTATGCAGTATTACAATAATTGCTTTTTTTAGCAAAAAGAAAACAGGAGAAAAAAAGCAAGTTTTTATTCATCCTAAGTGTGAGTGGAACCTCAGGAAATTAGGGTGGCAGATTAATAAGAGAATATGATATAATTACAATTTATTTTTAAGTCTATAGTCATTTGAAGAGCAGAAAAAGAAAAAAAACAACATTGCAAAAATATCACTGAAAAGAATGAAAGATGGTGCAAGCAGTAAGATGCCTGTTTAATTTGAAATGATTAGACATTTTGAAAACTGAAGAATGGGAAGTTAAATAAAATTAATATTGACTATGAGAAAATTTTTTTAATCTTCTCATTGGGAGATTAAGATTATGCCTTTATGTTCAGATCTGCCTTCTTTTTGAAATTACTACAATTTCATATTATGTGCTGTAATAGGTTTATAAATAGCATGCTATTAGGAAACTGGAAAGAATTTATGGATTTGGTGAGCTGATCTATGTTCTCGGGTTTCTTGAAGGATTCTTTAAGGGATACTGGGTTTTAAAAAAACAACCACAACAAAAAGCTTGGTGTAAGACTTTAACATTTATGCCAAGTAATGCTGTCACTCTTCACCTCTTTGTAAGCAAGAGCTGAACTGTATATTTTATGGAACTTTTACTGAGCAGTCACTTTTAATCCTGTGGTGTGCTGCCTGCCTCACAATTCTATAGTACTGTATCCATCAGAGATCCAAACTTGGGGGAAATGGAGCTTTGTAAATACAACCACTCTTCCTTAATAGATGGTCAGAGTAACTTCCTCAATGTCAGAAAGAGAGATAAAGCACAAGTCTGTGCAGATTGTGCGTGTCATTTTGAGTTGTTAAATTAAGTGCTAGAAATTACATTGCAGAATGTTCTCCATTTCATTTCAAACATGCAAAGTTCTTTAAATTTAAAAACTTTTCAAATTCCTGTATTATTTCAAAATTAAAACTTAACTTTCAGTTGGCTTCCTACTTAAATATGTTATCTCTTTTAATCCTTACACCAATTCTTCGGATAAACATCATCCTGCATTTTATGGCGTGGAAGCTAAAGTTCAGAGAGTTTAGTAACTTTACCAAAATTATATGTCCAGAAAATTGTGGAGCCAAAATTAGAATAAAGGTTTGTCTGAATGCAAAACAAAGGCTGTCTGGTCTATGTAATTCTTTCAACCTCTGATTCTATTTTTATCCTCTTTTACAGGAATTATTTTGGAGAAAAAATTGGCATGTATTTTGTCTTTCTCGGATTTTACACAGAAATGCTGGTCCTTGCAGCTGTAGTTGGTTTAGCTTGTTTTATTTATGGCTTATTTTCCATTCATTCTAACACAGCGAGGTAAGTGCAGCTGAGTTGCCAAAGTAGAGAGAATGTCTTGATCTTATGCTAATTGAAACATGTTATTATTTTTCCTGGCATTTGTTTTGAAATGTTTCTTTATGGCAGCAGATCAGGGATGTTTCTGAAAAAGACCCAAACAGCCCCCCTCACTAGATGTTTTATGAAAAATCTGTTTTTAAGGACTAGTTCTAAAGATTCTGCTCTTCAAAGCATAACTTGAAGAAATTGCTGCTTCACTCCCCCTTCTGCCATATGAGAAGCTGTATGAAAAGTTGTTCTGATCAGAATAGCTTTGGACTCTCACCCAAACACACATTACTTTTAAGATAACTTTGCTGTTCCCTCTGCAGCATTGAAGTCTGTGACCCTAAGATTGGAGGTCAGATTATCATGTGCCCACTCTGTGATCTATTGTGTGATTTTTGGAGACTAAATACTACATGTTTGTCTTCAAAGGTATGTATGTATTTTGGTAAAATGTAATTTCCCTCCTTTTGCATTGGAAACGAAATTGTCTTTGTGATGTTATTTTTGTTTTTACAGGTCTCTCATTTATTTGATAATGAGTCCACAGTGTTCTTTGCAATATTCATGGGAATTTGGGGTGAGTATATAGTCACATAAAAAATAGCTTTCTCCATGTTATTTGGTATATGGCCCATATGTATAACATACCAAAGGTGATTTTAGATGCAGGTATTTGTATCTAGCATCAATACACTGATGGCTTCCAAACAGTGGTCTTTAATCCTTGGTCCTTGGTCAAAAAGGAAGAAAAAAGCCTCTATAATCACCTGCTCCTTTCTCTGAGAGACATTATTTTTTTAATATATTTTTCTTGATTTCAGAGAGGAAGGGAAAGTGAGAGAGAGATAGAAACATCAATAATGAGAGAGAATCATTGATCAGCTGCCTCCTGCCCGCCTCACAGTGGGGATTGAGCCTGCAACCCAGGGATGTGCACTGACAGGGAATCCAACCATAACCTCCTGGTCCATAGGTTGACGCTCAACCACTGAGTCACGCTGGTCAGGCAGAGACAACATAATTTTTTAAACTTCATATGTATTCAGCTCACAGTGTTTCCCAGAACTATGATAAAAATCAGGGTCAATAAGTAGTTAATTCAGGAGAGAATAAACACATATTTGGTAGCTAGAGGATATTGAATCATGGAAACAAACTAGAATAAGAATTTTTAAAATGTATAGAGGGTTAATATGTTGGTGTTTGAATCTAAGTTCACTGTGGCTAATTCTAGTGCCAGCTTTCAGATCTATTTGATAAAAACTTTCAAATAGATTTGGAAGTAGATCTAAAGTGGAATAGCCCTTAATTTTAGAAATATTCCAGGATATCACATGGGAAGTAGAAGTGTGAAGAAGTTGTTTCTACCATCAGATAGGAAATCCTGCAGACTTCTAAAACATGCCCCAAAATTCAGAGGACTTGGAAAAAATATACTTTTTTTCCTGAATAATAAAGAAAATATTTAGCAAACACAAATATGTGCACTTAAAAACTGGGCAAAGGACAAGGGTAGCTTGATCCAGGCAAAAAGACAACAAAATGTGTTGATGTGTATGAGAAGTAGAGGGATTGAAGGGTTTCTGTCACTTCCGCCTGGCTGCTGTGGTCTAGAGAGAGCACCCAGGTTCAACGAGCAAAGAGGACAGAGAAATCTTATAATTCTCCAGAAACCCCAAGTTTGGTAAGCTGTGAGATGTACTCCATTATGTGGCTGCCAAATCCTGCCTCTGTTGTTAATTGGAATCAGAAGTGAAGGATAGGTGCACAAATGTAAACATATTTAGTAATTTTCAGTTGTTTCCATTAAGAGAGATTGTGTACCTCCACCAGCTCTATATTTCATCACAAATAGAAGAGCAACCATATGCGGAGCTCCCAGCAACACTGTATTTTGAGGAGGTGCTATCTTTAGTTAGTTCTTTCAGAAAAGTTTATTGTAGCAGTGAATTGATTTAGCTTTTGTTTTTGAGGATCTTGTCCAAATTTCATGAAAACAGAACTTTCAGGATGTTTGTTTTAGTACAAATACTAGTTAACAATTAAGCTGAATCAAAGGATGAGTTGGCAGAGTAGATGTGAGAAAACAACACTCGTTCTAGGGATTGAGACCTGAAAGTAATGCATACTAAGCTCTGTACTGAAGGATAAGAATGCTTTTTTTAAAGAAAATGGCATGTTTATAATGAAAATAAATACCCATCTTAGGAAATTCAAGTAGTATATTGAAACAGAAAGGCAATTATGTTAAAAATCACCAGAAATAGAATTATTATTTTGGCCATGATTTTTCAGAATCTTTTATCCTATCTGTGTGGGTGTGTGTTCATATAACTTTACATAAATGGTATAATCCTATCTAATAATAGACAAACATGGTAATTGACCATACCTCCGCTATGCTTCCCATTGGCTAATCAGCAGGATATGCAAATTAACCCAACCAAGATGGCGGTCGACAGCCATGCAGCTGAAGCTAGCAGGAGGCTTGCTTGCTCCAGTAATGGAGGAAGCCAAGGTTCCCCGCCTGCTGTGGCCCAGCTCTGAGCTCCACTCTAAGCAACAAAGTTGCAATTATAGATGCTAAACAAACCCCAGATTCCTGCTTTCAGCAGGCCCTGGCGTGGGAGCTGGAGCAGCAACAAAGTTTCAATTATAGAAGGTAAATAAATCCCAGAATTAAAAAAAAAAAAGAAAAAAAGGAGAGGCTGGGAGCTTCCGTTGCCGGCTTGGCCAGCCTGAAAACAGCCCTCAGCCCCTCATCAAGACTGGCCAGACACCCCAGTGGGGAACCCCACCCTGAAGGGGTTGTGACCAGCTGCAAACACCCATCAGCCCCTCACCCTGGCTGGCCAGGCACCCAAGCGGGACCCCCACCCTGATCCAGGACACCTTTCAGGGCAAACCAGCCGGCCCCCACCTGTGCACCAGGCCTCTATCCTATATAGTAAAAGGGTAATATGCAAACTGACCCTAACAGCAGAAAGACTAGGAATGACTGGTCACTATGACACAAACTGACCACTAGGGGGTAGACGCTCAATGCAGGAGCTGCCCTCTTGTGGTCAGTGCACTCCCACATGGAGGAGCTCTGCTCAGCCACAATCCAGGCTGATGGCTGCCAATACAGCGGTGGTGGTGGGAGCCTCTCCCGCCTCCTCAGCAGCGCTAAGGATGTACGACTGCAGCTTATGTCTGCTCCCCGCTGGCAAGTGGACATCCCCCGAGGGCTGCCGGGCTGCCAGAGGAATGTCTGATTGCTAGCTTAGGCCCAATCCCCGGGGAGAAGGCCTAAGTCAGCAGGTGGTCATCCCCCGAGGGGTCCCAGACTGCAAGAGGACACAGGCCGGACTGAGGGACCCGCCCCCGAGTGCACAAATTTTTGTGCACCGGGCCTCTAGTATTATATATAATTTTAAGCCTACTTTTTTATAGAACAAACATGAATTATGGGACTCCTTTTGTAGAATGAATATGTACATTTGTTGTGTGTGTATGTATGTGTATTTATGACTGAATAGATGAACTTATTATACTTTTATGAACTTATTACACTTTATTTAACTAGTTGTTTATTGTTGGGTATTTAGGTCTCTTTCACTTTTTCCTCCTACTTTTATTGAGATATAATTGACATATAATATTTTATTAGTTTAAAGTTTACAATATAGTGAGTTTATATGTATATATATGAAATGATTAATACAGTAAGTTTAGTTAACATCACTTCACATAGTTACAAATATTTTTGTGATGAGAACATTTAAGATCAACTCTTAGTAACTTTCAAATATATAACACATTATTTTTAACTATAGTAACCATGCTATATAGTTTTAACTCTATATCCCCCAAAATTGCTAATCTTATAAGTGGATATTTGTATCTTTTGACCATTTTCACCCATTTCCCCCACCATCACCAACCACCAAACTGTACTGTTTCTATGAGTTTGCCTTTTTTTTTTTAATTCCACATGTGAGACCATACACTATTTCTCTTTCTCTGTATGACTTATCTTACTTAGCATAATATCCTCAAGTCCTATTCATGTTGTTGCAGAATGGCAGGATTTTCTTTCTTAATGACAAAATATTATTCCATTCTTTATATAAACCACATTTTCTTTATCCATTCATCCATGCATGGACACTTAGGTTGTTTCATGACTTGACCATTGAAAATAATGCTGCAATGAACATGAAATACATATTTTAGGGAGAGGGGAGAGAATGTGTTATAAAATGGCTTTTACATTTTTCTTAAATTTCACTAAGGTATAATGCTTGAATGATTTCACTAAAAGACTAAATAATTTCAGTAAAAGACTGACTTTGCAAACAAAATCTAGCTGTTAATAAAAAGTTAAGTTTATTCCTTCAAATTATCTTAATGAAGAGAGAGAGTAATTAATTTGAATTTTTTCTTGCATGGACTGTTGTCTAAGGAATTAACTCAAAATTTTATATATGAGTCATTTCAATGTTATTACATAATTATGTTAATATTAAGAATTTTATAAATCTATCATCAAATAATAGTGACAGAATTGCTATCATGCAACCAAATTGATATTAAAAAATAGAGACCCTGACCTGGTGGCTCAGTTAGTTGGAGCATCACCCTGTACATCAAAAGGTTGTGGATTTGATTCCCAGTTAGGGCACATACCTAGCTTTCAATTTGATCTCTGGACAAGTTCCGGAGGCAACTGATTAATATTTCTCTCTCACATTTATGTTTGTCTTTCTGTCATTTTGTCTGTCTCTCCCTTTTTCTCCCTTCCTTTCTCTCTGTAAAATTAATAAAAACATATCAAAAAATAGAGGAAAACTATGCACCTCACTTAGGGTGGTGAACACACATATATTTATAGATGATGTATCATGTAATTATACAGCTGAAATCTATGTAGTTTTATTAACCAATGTTAATAAATTCTATTAAAAATACAATAAATCAAAATAAAGGAAAACTCAGTTATTTTCTTATTCACTGTATTTCTCCATCTCTTAATTGTATTTGTTTTTATACTTTGTTTTCCTATAGTCACCTTGTTTTTGGAGTTTTGGAAACAGCGTCAAGCCAGACTGGAGTGTGATTGGGACCTGGTGGACTTCGAGGAGGAGCAGCAGCAGCTTCAGCTGAGGCCAGAATTTGAAGCCATGTGTAAAAAGAGGAAAATGAATCCTGTGACTCAGGTAGATTAGGAAACTGAAATGAGCATCCTATCTCAATGGGCACATTGCTGTAGGTTGTCTCTCAAATAATGGTGTCTATTTTAATTTGCCTTTAAGTATTCTCCAACATATAAATCATATAAACTTACTTACTTACTCTTATATTTCAAACACATAGAAAAGTAGATAGACAAGTAAAATGACTCCAGGATGAACCCATCACACAGCTTCAATTAATATTAATTCATGGACAATCTTGTTTTATTTATACACCTACTCCTTATGGCCATTGGATTATTTTGAAGTAAATCCAAAGAATCATCATGAAAGACATTATTTTAATACCAAGTGCAATTTAAAAAAAAAATGGAAAACAAGTGTGTATGCTCTGGGCTTTAAATATGTGTATAAATATGTATACATGGAACTAAAGATAATATGCAAAAATTAAATTAGTATTGTATTAAGATAGTGGGCTTATGAGTGATTATTTTATTCAACTAGTCTCTCTTAATTCATTATAATGGGAAGATCATTGCACTGCTATTTGGGGTGAAAGTCTGTATTTTGGGATACTTGACTGGCAAACCAGCTATGTGGTTGACTGAGTAATTTGACTTCTTGGCACCTTTTTTCATGTGAAAATAGAAGGTACTTTGCCATCAAACACTAGACTCTTGGCTGCATATTCTTAGAGTCCCTACATTTCCATAATCTGTAACCACTTTGTTACCAGATGTTATTAAAGGCAGAAAATAATATGTTTCTAACACAGTCTTTTTAGTAGCATTCCTTACTTTGTTCAGCACACTATTCTTGCAGCATAATACTCAAAATTCTTTACATAATTTAGGCATTCATTTAACATTTATTAAATTGCATTGAAACATTACAAAATTCAATAAATGAATAAAGGGGGAAGAACACCTGAGGAAATACATTAACAACTTGGGTGAAATTAACAGTTTGAAATTATAAAATTATATCACAAGTGATATTGTCATACTAATGATATTGTAGTAGAAGACCAAAGAAATACCAAGCACGCTTCCTAGATAAAGGGAGGGACCCCATTTATTAACACTAGTGGACTCCAGGAATAATTTCCAAACCAGAGTGAAGAAACATGCAGAGGGTTCGCTTTTTATAACCTTCTGGGGTCTTTATCTTACAGATATGGTTCCGCCCCCTTTCATGGGCTTACAGGAAGGGCCCCAGGTGTTGGGGGTCCCCAGGCCATATCCGATGACCTGTCCTGGGGCCAGCGATAACAACCTTCCCCCGCCCGCTCCAGGGCAGTGTATTGTTCACAGTTTTTATGGCCTGACACTCCTTGCAAGACCAGTTTCCTCTTCAATATTATGTATATCTGTTGGGGAGCACACGAGACTTGGTTGGAAAATTGTAAGGAGGACAATCTGAGAAAAGGGAAGTGTGTGGAAGGCCGCCTGCCCTGTTTATCTGAATTCCGACTTAGGGGAGTGCCCAAGGCAGTGCTCCTAATTATTCCTTAATCTTTCCAAACAATTCTGTGCAGCGAGAGGGATGTCCGGCCTCCCCCCCCCCCCCATGTTTACTGGAATCCTAAGCCAGCAGTCAGACATCACACCAAGGGGTCCCGGACTGCAAGAGGGTGCAGGCCAGGCTGAGGGATGCCACCCCCCCGCCCTGCCCCACCACTGCCAGTGCATGAATGTCATGCATCGGGCCTCTAATGGAATTTTAACATCATTAAAGTGTCTACTTAAGCAACTGCCCTCAGATTTTGACTTTATTTCCTATCTACTTGAATACCACTCTAATTCAACATTCAGGAAATAGTGTGTACTCATTATGTCTCATATCACATGTAAAATATCTCAGCTAAGAGTGCTGAAGTATTCTACCTAAAGGGAAGGGACCATTGCTAAAATGTAGCTTCCCATGAGCTATACTGGACCCTTTTGGGAGGTTTTGGGAGGTTTCTTATTTAACTGGTCTTTGTGATTTTGACTACTACTTGGAATCCCAAAATTGTGGGTAGATTCTGAATTTTGCTGTGATTTCTTCAAAATTATAGGAGATGGAGCCTCACATGCCTCTGAAGAATCGGATTCCATGGTACTTCTTATCAGGAGCCACAGTAACGTTATGGGTAAGCATTTTAAAAAAACATTAGGATTATCTCAACAGTTTAATCTGAAACAGCCCTTAAGTCCCTTCCTTACTTTTCTCTCCACAGTCTTTATATTAAATAGAGCTCTTATATAAAATAAACTGTAATTTACATGGATGCACCATAGTTGAACCTTGGAAAAATAGTTAGGGTGAGAGAGAGAGGTGCTTTATCTTAGAGCCTGTCCCTCCCTCTTTCCCAATTTTATTGCAAATTATTTGGCTAGTTTTTTATGTTTGTTTTTTTTAAATCATTAGTTTATCTTTATCTCCACTTAAAATATTTGCACAAAGAGAAGAAAACACAAAAGAAAAATGTTACTTCATCTACGTGAAGAATTTAATTATTATATCCCATTTTGAGGGAATCAGGTTTTCTCCATGCCTTTTAGCTAAATGATTCCTTGATCACCATAATCTATTTCCTGCCCTACCTTTTCCAAAAGTGTTCCTTCTTACAATTGGACTTTAATTTTAGAAAAAGAAGTATGTTACCCTCTGAGAGTTTAGCATGTTGAAGTATAAAAAATTAGCAATTGTAGACTACAGCTTAACTTCACCAGTTCTTAATTTCTTACCTTTAACATTTCTTATTGAAAGTATTGACTTTTCTATTTTAAATTTGCATTTTTTAGATAATATAAAAATCATTAAAGAAAGACCATAGAATAAAGCAGGTGACAATCAATTTGGGACACTCCTAGAGAAATATTCTGAAGTGGTGTCCAGAAAGATTATTCTGTCTTTTATTTCTATTATTTATTCAGTTTGGTTCAGTTCCTCAACTTTCAGAGTAAAATTCTCCAATCATTGATATAAAGTCATCCCCAGATCTTTGTGGTTTTTTTTTGCAATATGGGAAGTATACAAAATTTATACCAAACAGATGCAAATATCTGAACTGTCTGGTTTATCAGGCCACTAATGGCAACATTCTGAGGGGAAATGAAATACAATCTTTAAATGTACTTTTCTTGGGAAAGTAAGTCATCTTCATGCTACATGTTTAACTACAATCTAGAGCAGAAGTTGGCAAACATTTTTAGTAAAGAGGCCAGATATATTTTAGGCTTTGTGGGCCAGTCACTGGCACATAATTCTCTTTATTTTTCTTTACAACCTAAAAAATGCAAAACACATTCTTTTAAAAAAAATGTTTTTATTGATTTCAGAGAGAGGAAGGGAGAGGGAGAGAGAGAGATAGAAACATCAATGATTAGAGGGAATCATCCATTGGTT